CTGTATCTTCCTTCTTTTGAGAAGACTGCTACTCCAAATAAATGACATCCTGTACCACTACATGTAAAGTAACTATCCCTGGCATCTCTAGCTCCATTAAATCAAACACATTCAGCCTCAGAACCCCTCCCACTGCTCAAGGTTTATAAGTCCTTGTTTACAAAACAAATATCTCTCATTGTACTTCTTGACCACGGCCACCTGAGACTCATCATTTATCCCAGAGAAGAAAAGGTTCCCACCTCCCTGGAAATTTGCCACTGAACTCTCGGAGCTGTTCTGCCTGGCTAGAGGCTGCCCGACCACCTTGAGTTCCATATTGACTGTTGGAGAAGCACCCACTGGGTCTGGACCTGCCTTCTAGCCAACCAGGCCTGCACCTCCTTGGACCTGCCTTCTGGCTCACTGGGCCTGAACCTCACCAGGCCTGTGTTTCAGCTGCAAGCTGACCAAACACAGACTTTTACCCACACCCCTGCTGTTAATACAGTGGCTTAGCCAAAGGGCCTTAACACTTCGGTATCATAACAGGCTTCTGGAACTCCTATCTGATACCAGCAATCTCATTTAAAAGAGCTAACTTGTAACACATGGTAGAAAACTCATTTCCACATCCTCCTGTCAGACAAGGAGCCTTGCCTAGGGCAGGGGCCTTGCCCTGATGGCTCTAGCCATTCCTAAGAAAAATAGAACCTCTGGTCTTGGGGTCCCCTCTGTTCTTCATCCAGAATCCAACAGCAGTGTCCTAGACTACTACGTAACAAAGAATGACAATATTTTAAGTTTAATTTTATAACATGAGATGGTTAATGTTATTTTTCAATTCTCTGGGATTTAGAATCAGCATGGAGACAACCTCTACGCATTTCTGTAAAGGAGTTTCTAGCTCGGATTGAGGTAGGAACATTCACTCTGTAGATGGGGGAAGGCATTCTATGGTTTGGTTTTCTGGACTAAGTAAAAAGAAAGTGAGACGAGCACCCAGATTCACCTCATGGTCTCGCCATCATGATGGGCTGTACTCTCAAACTGTGTTAAAATAAACCCTTTCTATTTTGAGAACCTTTTTTCAGATTTTTGTTACAACAAGAAAAGAATGCATAACTCATATTAAGTAGATTTGCTTCCATTAAACTACTACAGGGAACAATATTTAAAAATCTTTTTTTAGGGGGTATGGCATGGTCTCATTTAGCACAGGCTAGCTCTAAACTCTAATTTCTTGAATTTCTGGTATTCTTGCATCAGCCTCTCTAGTGCTGGATGACATGACCATACCCAGTTTCTGCAGTGCTGAGAACTGAACTCAGGATCTTGTGTGTGCTGGCTAAGCAGGCTACTGTCTGAGCCCCAGCCCCAGCCTTTTTTTTTTTTCTTCCTATAGAGGGTTCCAAAATTGATTAATAAAATATTTATGTATATCCTAGATTTTCAGTTTGCCATACATTTCTTCTTAATGACTTCAAAAGTCTCAGTTTGCCATACATTTCTTTCTTCTAGCATAAACCACAGCATTGTTTTAAAGTACATTCCCATTATTTGAAAAGTTTATAAATGAACCCTGAATAAAAAATAAAATAGAAAATAAAGCAGCTGTGTCCTTTACATCTAATCCCATCTCTTGTGTTATTTACTTATACCCTCTTCTCTACAGCTAGTTTTGGTTATTTTAGTTTTACTTCCATAACTGGTATGTTTAGACCTCTTCTTTTCAGCAAAAGTTATGTATTTATTGTTAAGTGAGACCCAGTGCCTCAACATATTAAAGCTGCTTAGTTATTCTTTGTTGTGTTTTTACCTCTGGTCCTTATAACATCTTTCAAGTTTGAAATAACATCTATTTATCTAGCTTACAATGGCCTTTAACTCCAGCTCCAGGGCATATTACAATCACAGGTATGTGCATATACCCACACAGTCACGCACACATATGCATGATATATATATTTCAAAAAGCTCCCTGGATTAAGCAAAAATGAAAAAAAAAAAAACAGGAGGTAGTTTGTAGTGAGACATGTTACGGGAATATGTTTGTGTCTTAAGCCCAGGTGTGGGGTACGGGGCTACTTCAGACTGTTTATAGCACCTGACTGGGATGTGCCTTTGAGAGACCAAAAAGATTAAAAATTAGCAGCTATTATTAATTAAGGCCTGATCTAGGTGGGTGGAGAAGTCCAGTAATGCCCTGAGGAGAAGGACTGCCTTACTGCATTCTTTCCCCACCCACTAGAGATAACAGTTGCTAGGAAACTGGCCCATTCCCCCTAGGGAGGGACACCAGGTCATTATGGTCTGGAGACCTTCCTATAGCCAATCAATTCAAAATGTAGCATCTTGACCAATAGATGCTTGCCAGGCAGGAATCGCCCCTGCCTTGGGCATGCTGGGATGGACCAGAATCTTTAAATCACCCAACTAACCAGGGCATGGCACGCTCAGATCGCTTAGGTGGTGGGTGTTGTGGGCTCAAGCTGCAGCTTGTAATTTACAATAAAAAGACCCTCATGTGTTTTGCAACAGAGTCGATTCCTGTAGATCTTTTGGGGGTTCTCGAACTGGGTATAACACCTTGTGCTTGTGCTAAAGCAGGGGCATGGTTTTGCAAGCTGCAGATAGTTTATGTTTGGAAATCTGAAGGTATATAGATGTCAGAGCCCTGAGAGGCAGGTCAGCTGCAATCCCTGCTGCTGTTGATGATTGCTGTTGGTTGCTGTTTGCCAGACTGCTGGTTACTGGTTGGAGAGATCCTGACAATGAAGATCAGACTCATCTCAAAAGACTTGATGCCCCTAATCAGCAGAGAGTAGTCTGATGATATCAATGATCCCTTTCCCCTCTAACCTTTTTGCTCTCCTACCTAGTGTTGGAGGGTTGGAAGAAATAGGGGTAGTGTAGGGAAAGAGATAAAAGAACCCAGTAAAGTAGTCAAAAGTCAGGCTACAATATTCTTTTTGGCTTTTTGTTTATTTTGAAGATGGAGATAAGATATAAGTTCCTCACACATGCGAGGCAAGTCTTCTACTCATTCCAAGTTATAACCCAAGACCCAAATATCTCCTTTTGAGAGCATACTTTCTCCACATACTTGGCCAACATTTCCATTCTAGTGTATCTTTTAGTTACGCTGTTGTGCCCGAATCGCGATACCCCAAAAGACAACCACTCGGAGCCAAGTCCGTTGCAAATCATATGAGGATCTTTTTTTTACAAATTACAAGCTGCAGCTTGGGCTCACACCCCCCACCTCCGAAGTGGTGAGAGCGGAGAGCCTGGTGCTCAGGTTAGTTGGGTGATTTAAAGATTCTGGTCCCTCCCAGCTTGCCCAAGGAAGGGGCAATTCCTACCTGGCAAGCATCTATTGGTCAAAACGCTACATTTTGAAATGATTGGCTATAGGAAGGTCTCCAGACCATAATGACCTGGTGTTCCTCCCTAGGGGGCTGGGCCAGTTTCCTAGCAACTGTATCTATTGGGTGGGGAAAGAATGCAGTAAGGCAGGTTCTTCCCCTTAGGGCATGGCTGGACTTCTCCACCCACATAGTTCAGGCCTTAATTAATAATAGCTGATTTTTAATCTTTTGGTCTCTCAAAACCTCTCAAAAATCAGGTTAAGTATGGCAGTGTTAACTATGATTGTTTATACTTAGCTTAAATCAAAACCAACAACAACTAAAAAAGTTTTGTTTGTCCTCAGTTTCAGGCTCAGTCTCTTCAGGTATTCTCAGAGTCAGCCTATCAAGTATTAGCTCTTTTATTTCTGTCCTGATGGTAATTGGTTTTCTTTCTCCTTTTCCTTTAGTGATCATGTCTATGTCTATGCTCCTGAGGTTGTAAGACTCTATTAATATTGTTAAATGAAAGGCTCCCATCTCCCTGTCCTTTAAGTTGCCTTTGCTTTTGTGACATCTCCCTGAACTATGTCATAGCAAGGGAAAAAGCAAAAATGTGAGAATGAACCTGAAACTGATCTTCACATGCACTCTGGGACAGAGGCATCTACAAAGCTGTCAATTTCTTTTCAGATTAGTGAAGACATGTGTAAAAATAATCAACATAAGCTGAAACATTCCTCTGTGGCCAATGTACAACCTACCTTTCAGAAAAAAGGACAAGAGATAATATTTCAAATTAAAGTATTAGCAAGCCATTAATAATTTGAATATTTCTTTAATTTTTTGACTAAAAATGGTCTAGGTTAAATGTCATTTAAATCACGTTACAGTGGCATTAATACTACCATTTTTTTTTCACTTTCCCATATATGCAAATTTTAGGTTCAAAACTAGGATTCCATTAGCCAAAACTCTTAACCCATCTAAAGCAGTTGTCTCCAGATTGCAAAGCAATGTTCTTTAGAAAGTTTGCAAGAAATCCTCAAGTTTGACCTTTGAAGTTTTGACACTATTTGGGGAATGGCATTTGGTTAACACAGTATCTGTACATTCATGCTCAGTATGAATGATTTTACATGACACAGTCCTTTCTTTTAAAATAAAGGTTATTATCAGCCATTTAAAGATTTAAACTATAAAGACACGGAAAAGACATTGTTAGAAAGCTAAAAATGTGGCTTTCATACCTGCTTTTACATCATAAAAGTCAAGGTCCTGAATACTCATTTGTTGCTGTGTAGTTACTTATAAATAACCACATATTTAAATTAACACATACAAGCTTATACAGAAGTCACAAAATATTTTTTTTATTCTAAGAAGTAGAATCAGAAAAGGGATATTAATGTTTTCCAAAAGGACAACAGATAGCTGTTAATAACATAGGGCTGGTTGCTCTTTATTAAGTACCTGGTTAGTGTGTTTTCTTATCCCATCAATTGCCTCTCCATAACCACCTCTTACTTCAATTTTCTGTTATGATCACTGGAAGCATAGGACCACGCAAGGAAAAAGGAAGGCCACAAACAAGGAAGCCATGAGATATTTGTATATTTTAAGACAACATAACAGGAAAATGAACCTTCTGGGTCAGAAGAGGTCACTTACCTGCTGCTCCTGTGCTCTAGCAGCACCAAGTTGCGAGAGTGACATGGTGAGCTTCTCTTGCTGCTCTGATAGGTACTTCTGGTAGAGACTTAGAAGTTCTTGACATTCTCTATACTGTAGCTGAAGAGGTGAGAATGAAAATTAAGGGGAAAAAACTGATTCACATACAGATGCCAAAAAACAAAACACAGAGAGAAATACAATGCGACATGATCAGAATATGTGAGCATGGAGTCACCAGGTAAAAACAGTGCATTTATCTAATCATGAAGCAATAATTTTAATAAAGAAATACTGATCATCCCAATGAAGAGACATTTTCTTAGTTATTTATAGAGCCATGCAGAGGAACTTCCAGCACATTACATAAACAAGCAAAACAAAGCAGGGCACATCCAGCTTTCAGGAGATTGAACTGTTGAGAATCAAAAGTTCCAGGCTGGACTGGGCAACATAGTCTGATGCTGTTGTAAAAGGAAAGGAAAGAAAGAAAGAAAAAAGACAACAAACCAATGATTTAAATCTAAGAGTTAAAACTATAAAACTCTCAGAGGAAATCATACAAATGCATCTTTGTGACCTTGGATTAACAAATCTCAAAGAAAACCCTCAAAATGAAATACTTTGAAATCATATATATGAAAAAGGATTAATATTCAGAATATATAAATAGCTCATACAACTCAACAATAAATAATAAATATTAACCTCATCTTAAAAACTGGCAAAGGCTCTGAAGCAATTGCCCAGAAGAAATGCATAGATGACCAAGAAGTAAAAGATGGTAACTACAACTGCTATCAGGGAAAAGTAAATCCAAAGCACAAAGAAAAATTACTTTATATCCAGCAGGATAGCCTTAATCAAAGACTAAACCTTGATAACAAGTCTAACATGGATATGCTCAAGTGGAATGTTCCAGTATACATAACAGACAGATAAATACAGCTACTTTGGATGATAATTTAGTCTATTTTTAAAGGTAAATTTAATATATGATCCAATAAATCTAATTATCCAGGGAAAAAAAAATAAAAACCTAAACAAATCTCATACATGGCTTGAGTTTTTGTTTAGAACAGCCCTGCTCATAGTGGTTTAAAAGCAACAAGAACTTTTATGTACACCAACTTATCAACAGAGCAGTATCTATACAATTTAACATATTATAGCAATAAATTAAATGTGGTATTGCTACATGCTACAAACCTTCAAAATACTATGTCATGAAAAAGAATACTGACACAAAGACTATATGTCACATGCATTTACTTATATGCGAAGTCAAGAATAGGCAAGCCCATTCAGACAAGAAAACAGACTGGTGGCTACTACATATATGTAAAAAACAGGAGAAAAAGGTGCAAGTTTGGGGGGAAAGGTAATAAATAGGTTCTGGAGTGAGGTGATGGCAGTGTTGGTACACTGGAAAATGTTTAATGCCATTCAACTGTAGACTTGAAAAGGTCAGATTTTATGTAAACAGTATCTTAATAATTAGTGCCTATCTTATACATTGACTTCCTATTGAGCATAAGGAATTATACTTTGAACTTTTGTCTTGTCTTGCATATCAATAGTCACACCAATATTTCACTAATACCATCATCAGGATTTTTTTTTGCATCAGGAAACCCTGCTGCTATGTCACAATCTGCCTTTACTAGAAAGCCCTGAAAACTCCCTTTGAGGGCAAGGCTTCCTCTTCGCTGCCTGAGGATCCAGACCCCCACACCTTCCACCTAAAGAATGTTAATTAGTCCTTAGGGAAATTACAAATCCAATTACCTTTCTCCCTTTTAGCAAGCACCTGGCATTCCTGGAATGTCTCCACATGCAAATGAGGCATCTCAGTACCTTAGCCCTTCAGCCAATGACATTTGTCCACCTTGGATATCCCGATCCCCCCACCCCCAAGTTCTATATAACCCTCTTTTACCCAGAATAAAATTGATCTGCTCTCCTTGAATCTGATCCCAGGTTATTTACATTCTTGCTCACAGGCCACTAAACCTCCAGTTAATCACTTCTGCTCCTGAGGACAGTGGCCAACAACCTCAGGAACAAGGGAGAGCCACATTTTTACACATATATCTACTTTCTGGTGTAGAGAACATGGCATCCTAGCCTGGGGTGTCTCTTTTTACAGCTCCTAGCATGTGAAGAATGCTCAAGGTGAAAGCACTAGGTCAGAAAGGTCCAACTTCACAGGTCAGGCACCTGGGTCCCAGCTTTTTAATGTGGCTATTTTCGTCTAGACTCTCCTTCCTGCAGATCATTTCCTAATCTCCCTCTCAGTGATTATTTAGGTATGCTGTTGGCATAAGAATTACTGTCCAATGGGATTATTCTGTACATACACTTTTACACAAGATGATCATGATTAAGAGTAGGGATAATATTTCTTAAATGTCAAAAATTGTAACTAGTTTCAATATTCCTTAACATTTTTATAACCTAATCATTGCTTCTGGGCAGATTCCTATTCTAATAACTTTTGCCAATCATAACTGCATAAATAACCAACTGCTTCATTATTCTTGTTATTAACCTTTTAACAATAAGGAGCCCAAGATGGCTTATAGGAGAGGACTGGCTCCTAGTGAAAGGCCAGGTCATTAAGCTTATAGAATAACATTAATTTCAAGAGCTTGTAGAATACTTAGTATCTGAAACAATAGCAGAAATAACAGAGCAAGAACAGTGGTATAAATAAGCTGATAGTTTCTATTGTCAATCTATGTTGTATTTCTACAGTTTTACATAATCTGTTTTTGTTATTTTGTGGTGTGTGTGTGTGTGTGTGTGTGTGTGTGTGTGTATCTGTAAGTTCCAAGAGACAGGAATGATCTGTGTGGTCCCAAGGAGTTTGTGACAGCTATTCAGCTATTATGAATATAAAAAGTTTTTATTCTAGCTGCTACCATACAAAATAATGTTTATAATAAGCTAATGCATTAGTCTGGCCACAAAATATGAATTTTATTCTGGAAAAAAAAACAAAAACAATTACATAGACTATGAACTAATGTCAGCATTGGAGATAAGTTATAGGTATTTAAATGCATGCCATGAATATAAAAACATATGGTTTTACCTTTATTGATTTTTAAATATTTCATTCTTGGTTTTATCAGATTTCAGAATGACCAATATTTCCTTTTTCCCTAACACACTGAGACTTTAACCCTGCACCTGGAGAGATATCTTAGAAAAATGTAGGTAAAATTCTTTTTCATTGAAGAGAGGATTTTTTTAACTGAATCATGGTGACATGACAGAAAAGAATGTCACAGAAGATCAAACCCGAAAAAATGTGCATGCCAAACCATGAAACAAATGGGCATGCTGCCGTATCTCCAATCACCACTTAAGAAATGAGCAAAGCAACCAGTTACCACAGCCTCAACTGAGGAAATAAGCCCTTATGAGTGACTACATTAATACCAACTTGTGTTCAGTATGATCACACTGAAATATAAACAACTTCACCGATCAGCTGAAGTAGCTGCAGGAAATGATAATACATAGAATAAAGGCTTTATGTGAAAATGTATCACATAGATAAGTGAAATGAAGCATCTGAATAGAATGAACATGGTGGCAGATGAAAACAACAAAAACTCAGAGGTGGGGGCCATTGAAGACTAGACAAGATAGCCCAGCAGGCTGCTAATCTGAAAAGAGATTGTGATGAACTGAAGACTCTCTCTGGTCCAGTACAATTTACTGCCATCACCCACCTTAGCTTTTCCACTGAAGTTAAGAACACTACTTGATCTGATACTAAGTATCTGCCTTAATACAGATACAGTGAAGAGAGGTCTTCATATGAAGAGAAAGGTTTATCATTAAAATCTTTAGAAACAAAAAGTTTGCAGCCAAAAGTTTTGGCTGAAGGCATTCTGGGATAAGAAAAATACAAGGTGAGCTTGAATTAATGCAACAAAGAGCTCAAAAATCAAAGGGAGTGAGCTTGAAGAGACTCTTAGTAACCAATGCTGGGACAATTGTGCTCATAAATGAATAATCACCCTAATTAACAGATCTTGAACAAAATAAAATCCCACTATCTCATAGTGATAGTTCAAAACAAGAAGAGAAAATGAGGGAAGTGGAAAATAAGCCCCGAAGCCCTTCTGTTCAGAAGAATTAGTTATAACAAACTAACATCACAAAGACATAAAGAAATCCAGATGCAGGAGACTAAATAGCAAATTATTGGAAGCAATGGTGAAGCTTAAAAAAAAGTCAGCATTCTGGGATAGCTCACTCAGGATGATCCTTTCCAGATCCCAGAAACAGAAAGACACACACGGTATATACTCACTCATATAGACATATAATATAGGATAAACCTACTAAAATCTGTACACCTAAAGAAACTAATCAAGACGGAGGACTTTGGCTAAAATGCTCAATCCCCACTCTGAAAGGCAAACAGGATAGACACCAGAAGAAGAAAACAGGAAACAAGTTAGGAGACTCCCACAGAGGGCCTCTGAACGGCTCTGCCCTGCAGACTATCAAAGCAGATGTTGAGACTTATGGCCAAACTTTGGGCAGAATGCAAGGAATCTTATGAAAGAAGTAGGGAATAATAGTTAGATCTGGAGAGGACAGGAGGTCCACAAGGAGAGCAACAGAACCAAAAAATTTGAGCACAGGGGTCTTTCCTGAGACTCATACTCCAACCAAGTACCATGCATGGAGATAACCTAGAACCCCTGCACAGATGTAGCCCATGGCAGTTCAGTGTCCAAGTGGGTTCCATAGTAATGGGAACAGGGACTGCTTCTGACATGAACTGATTGGCCTGCTCTTTGATCACCTCCCCCTGAGTGGGGAGCAGCCTTACCAGGCCACAGAGGAAGATAATGCAGCCACTCCTGATGAGACCTAATGGACTAGGATCAGAAGGAAGAAAAAGAAACCCTCCCATACCAGTGGACTTGGGGAGGGGCATGCGTGGAGAAGGAGAAGGAAGAGAGGGATTGGGAGGGGAGGAGGGAGGGAATTAGAGGGGGGATACAAAGTAAATAAAGTATAATAAAAAAAAGTCAGCATTTTACAACAAAAAAATGAAAGGTACCTTTGATATGTTGGGCTCACCACCCAAAGGATTACA